CCCTCTTCTGTCTCTCAGAGAAGCTCCACCTTTTCTTGGTAACACACAAAGTTCTCAGCGAAGCTTTCTTTGGTGTTGGGAGGCCATTCTGCAAAAATGATCCTAGATCTGGCAATATTTCCTCTCTAAGGGGTAGCAACTCCTAGGTGTTTGGCTCCAGAGGACCAAATGAGGTCTGGTTTTTCTTCCCTCAACTTCCCCCTTCCCTGTCAATCTGCAACTCCAATTCATTTCTTACTTAAGGACCTGAGTGAGAGTAGAGCCAAAGACATAGCCCTCAGAATCAAATGTGGACAACTGTGAGCAAACAAGAGTCATACATCTCCCTTTTAATGACTGATTATTAACTGATAATACTCTACTACTACCACCAACTTGGGGAACTACATCTCCAGTTCACATCACAGACGATTCTGCATCTTGTGACCCACATGCCAAAATTTACAATGACTGATGTAAAACTCTCTACTTTCAATGGACTTGTTACAAACAGGCTTTTCTCAAAAGGTGACTCTGGCCCATTCTCCTCAGTTAACTCTCAGTTTCTTCAAAATTCAGCTCATTCAAACTTCATTCTAACTGCAGAATAAGCCTCTTTAATAGCAATCTTTAAACCGGCTTACGTAGGATTCCCCTGGGAATTAATTTCACACGTGGAAGTCACATCACAGAAATACTGCCGGCAATCATTGGGAAATACAGAACACTCAGACGAAGGAGTTCTCCTCCTCATCCCAGGCTTGCAAAAACAAGATACCTAAGGGAAGGCAACGCAGTGATTATAAAGCTGCATTCATCATCTTTTACCCAATAAATTACACTACAAAGGAGCTGTCTGGTTTCCCTCTGCAAAATCTAAGGCAAGGAGAGCAGATTTGACCAACACAATGGTGAGGTCATTTGAAGAACTTCTCTCCTGGCCATTTTTCAGACCCTTACAGGTTGCTGATCTGCTGTTATTGCCCTTACCTCTCCTGGACGTCTGTAAACACAAACTGTAGAGTTTTCTGGGCAGCCTCCATTGCTGTCAACACAAGGGTTTATGGGCTGGCAAAACTTCCCATCTCCTTGAAATCCTTCTTTGCAGGTACATTGATACTTTCGTGGTCCAAGAACCTTACACGTAGCGAAGGGTGAGCACGGAGAAGCAGCACAAGGATCCTGAGCTGCAATTAAAGAGATGAGAGGAGAGAGTAACGAAATTTCTATTTTCAAAACAGCACTTACTACAGCACAGCAGAATGCAAAAGGCCTGGAGAGAACTGAGTATAAGGAATTTATACTATTAAACTTCTAAAATTTCCCAGGAAAATAAAATAATTTCAGACAGCAGACGTTTTGGGTTTTTTGGTCTGAGGAATTTGGATGACACATTCTTCATGTTAGTTCAGTAACAGAAGTGCGAATGACAGAGGATGCTTAGATTTACTTCTGAATTTCCATCATATCTGAGGATATATGAAACTGCAGTTTGGTCAGCAAAAATTGCATAAAGCCAGTGAAAACAGAGCTATCCATAGCTAGCTAATCACACGCATTTTATTTTACTGACTTTCTTTTAACAAAACCAATTCACAAACTTAAATTTGAAATCAGTGACGAAATCCTCCAATTACACGTCTTATTATTTAAACTGGTACAGACTCACCAATATCCCAGTTAGTCAGTACATACTTTTAAGTGAGTGCTGGATGGAACCTGCAACTCTAATTCATTTCTTGCTTTCAGGACCAAGTGAGAGGGGAACCAAAAACTTACCCCTTAATCTTAAAGAGGTTCGGAAAAAACAGGTTCTTAAGCCTCTGCAGTGAAATAGGCATTGTGTTCACAGTGATCAAATTCATCTGGAGATAGTAGTGCAGTAAGATTTTTCCACATGGGATCATTTAGGGTCACAGAGAAGTTTCTCACCTTGGCAAGTGCTCCCGCTTTTTCTGTAGCCCGGCTTGCAGTCACACATTGCTCTCCCATCCCTTACCACACATGTGCTGTTGGCCTCGCATGTCACACCTTTGCAAAGGGGAAGTTCTGGAATCACACAGCAAAGAGAGTTTCCCTTTGAGCATGCAGGGCACCGCTGAAAGATACAACTTACTTTACGAAATATCTGGAAATGAAGTCAAATGTGGTTTCCAGAGGCCCCAAGCTGGCACAAAAGCTAGGGGATACAAGCAGTGTGGACAGCTCTAAATCACTGGCAGCCTAGGTAGCGAGGTCCCGTAAGGCTTAGAGAGAAGAAAGAGTCGATCTGGTTTCCAGAGAAGGAACAGAGGCACAAGGAGATGGCACATCTCAGCCACTGTCACGGACTGACCCCAGCTTTTCCCTCTGTCTAGATCTCCAGTCCTCAGATCACCTTCCCTCTACATTCCTAAGTGATTCATTGCCCCCCAGCTCCTTCTGGGACGCATGCATCCAAGCCCATATAATAGCTTAACTCTAAGAGCCCCTCTGCAGCTACCAGTGTATTTACCTTGGTCACACCTGGGGCCAGTGTAGCCTCCATAGCACGTGCAGCTTCCATTCCCAGTGACGCCACTGTTGCATTCCCCGTGAACACAGTCACACACTGCAAGGGAAGTCCAGACAAACTTGACCTTCAGCTACAAGGCAGTGCATAGGGCTCCAGACATACATCGGCCAACTGCCCTGGGACACCCTGATTTCCCACCAATAATCCACAGCAAATGTAGCTCCTTTAAAGAATAAGGCAATGCCAGTCAGAGTTTAAAGAGGGCAAACTGCACGTCCTGGGCTCCAGATGACAGTGAGCCCTGTAAGAGCAGCCCTGAATGCAAGATCTAGACCAGCTTTTCAGGCACGTGTTTTAACTTCCCACTCCTCTAAGTCTCCTGCAGCCGATGTGGAAGGAGGCAGTATATGAGAGCCTACCACATTTGTGATCCCAGCACTGGTGTCATTGTGTGAGCACAACCACCAAGATCACACCTATCTCACCTGTGAGGACACAAGGCAACCAGGAGCTGGTCAAAAAGGGCTCCTTTAACAGCCAGGCTGCACCAGTCATAAATTGCTTCCAAAAATGCCATATATGAGAAGCAGAACTGTGTGTATTAATTTTGTAGGGAGGGCAACAAGGAAGAAGCTGGGAGACAAGTGGGGCAGTTACAGGAGTTTGGAAAACAGTTGGGAAGTGAGTGTGGGTCACTTCAGGGATGTAGGTAACAGCCTGGCTAAAAAGAGAAGGGAAAACTGAGATAGCCCTGGTAAAGGGGGAGGGAGATTTACCATAGGAAAAATGGACTGATTTGAGTCAAAGACTGAGAATCATTTGTGTAATGCGACAGTGGAGAAGAGCACAAAGACAAAATACCAAGACACCTGCTATTAAACACTGCCAGCTGGCATCCCTTCCTCCTCTCCAGCGCCCTTCTTCACCCAGCCTTCCCCCTCCTCTTTCCTTGCTCTCAGGTATTTTTGTGGAGGTTTCACCTGAATTACTCATCCTTACCTGACTGACAGTCTGGGCCAAAATGATTTTCATCTTGACAATCCTGGCAGGCAAAACCACTGTATTGCTCCTAGAAGAGCCCCAAAATGTCCCAGATGTTATTTTTCTGTATCGTTGCATTGATTCACACATTGTTATAATTCAAAGTCTCTCCCCATTTCTGATTTTCTGTGACTGCTGAAGCAATACAGTGAAGAAAACCGATCTGTTCAGTGGTCTAGTAGTATCAACCAACCCCCATGGCAGAGAAGATCACAGCGTAAGCCAATGCACAGGGGGCACGCAAAACCCCAGCGAAACCCTATTGGGCATTGAGGAAACTGATCACAAACAGACAGGAATGTACCAGCTGACTTCTGATATCTCTCTGAAAAAGGAATTTGGAATCCACCAATGTCAATAGGACTTTTGACATTGATTATACAGAGCTTGGGGAACTTTAGCATATATTTGAATTGATACAAGGTGTCTTTGAGTCAAGTCCAAAAGTAGCTTTCTCAAAGAAGGGCCCAGGATGTAGGATTCTAGCTTATCCCTTCACAATGCTATTAATTAAAGGTGCTGTAAAAGCATACAGTTCACAAGAGAAAGTTTCAAGTCTGACACTGATCCATTAAGCTAAAAATTTTAGAAACACTGCTCTATAAGATTCAAACGCACAGGAATTGTTTATGGTTTTGTTGTACAAAGTCTGGAGCTGTAAAGAAAAAAATAAACATCTGCCCTAAATTCTCTTTTTGGTTTCTCTTGCTTTTCCTCAGAGAATGTCCTGGTTTGACATGACAGAGGAGGAGGATCTGCCAGCCAAGGTGCAGAACCGATTCATCTGGGAAGGATATGGCCCAAGTCTGGAAAAGGTGCAGCTCATTAAGAGCCAAGTATCTCAGGGCCTCTTGCAGCCACACACACACACTGATTATTTCAACTGATCAGAGGGTTAAATCCATGCAATTCTTTCTTCATTTCTCCCTAGAGACCCATCCCAACTCCATACCCTCACCAACAGTGTCTTAGTGCTATTGCCAAACACATCAAACCTCCAGGAAAAGCTGGAGCGAAAGCAGCTGCTAATGACCTTCCAGGCAGAAGGTCAGCCTTCAACCAAGGCATCTGCACAGGTACTATACAACTCCCTCTGACAAAAGCACATGACCCTCAGAACAAATCATGCACTTACCTTGCAGATGCAGGTCCCGTTTTGCTGTATGCCATCCAAGCATGTCCCATGGCCACTGCAGGGATTTTGAGAGCCACCCGGACACTCTAGCAGGCAAGAGACAGGCCAGACAAGATCAGATTGAACAACCAGCACTGCATTCCCCTTTCCATCTCCTCTTCCCCCAGGCACTCCAGTTGTGCAAAAGCAACGGCCTCTTCACCAGCAAAGTCCCTTCCTGCTTATCCAATACACTTAACACTGGCCCAGAGCTGGTAAGCATGGCCAGGAGTGGCACCAAGGAGCAATTTGACTGCTAGCTAAGAAAAGCCTTTTATTAAAAGTCTAAGGAAAAGTCCCAATGGGCCATAACTAACTAAATTTTAGCAAAGGCACAGAAACATGTTTTGAGGTTGAGCCATTGGTGCTAGCATCAATGACAGGAGGTCTCAAACATCTGAGGGCAGTTCTGAAACTCAGGACAGGTGGGAGCCTGCTTTGCAAAGATACTGAGCATTTTCAGCTTTCCCTGACTTCATGAAGAGCTGAGAATGTGCTCAGACAAACATGGTCCACACACCTTTGGAGTGGGGTACCTCCAAATTCTGGGGACTATTTCTGAAAGTTTTAGATGTGCAATTCCTCTGATGAAGCCAACTGCTTATTCAAACCACTTCTGCGTGAGAACAGGCTCAAGCTCTCAAACGACTTCCTATTTTCTGCAGGACTGGAGCATATCTTTCCATATTCCAGCAGTCAGTCATATGAGAAGTGTTTAGCTTAGTAGGTCTTGCGTTTGGAATTCTGACACAAGACAAAACAAATTCTCATTACCTGGCATAAACCTGAGTGGGAGCTTTGGGATGGTTATTTTCACCTTGGGTTGCAATTGCTAAGTATTTTCTGTGGTTGAATGGCTGACTAACTCCAGACTACACAGGAGCACACGTGGCACACACACTGCAGACTAGAGGGACATCAGAAAGAAATATCTTCCTCTTCCTTTGGAAACTTTCTTAAAGAGGAACAAAAACATCCCTTTCCAAAAGCTTATTTTTAAAGAAAAGACAAAAGGAAGTTCCACCAAAGGAGGTTATGTTCTGTGTTAAATGTAAGGATTCAACTCATCTGAAGCAGAGATTCCTTCCCCATTATATTCTGAACCCCCCAGACAGATAACAGAGACCTTGTGAGTGTTTGAGGAATAATGAAAATTAATCACCTCAATGCATATTTAATGCCTCCTATTAAAACTGGTTTGACTTACTCAACAGCTAGAGATTGTCATAAAAAGATGAAAAACTTACCATAGCACTCCGTACCCCAGAATCCCGGACAGCACTTTTTCTCCTCAATTTCCTTCTTACATATGTGATAGCACCCTGGCTGGGAAAGGGTAATTTCTCCTAACTTGACAGTGTATCTTAAAAAGAACAATCCAAGATTTATGATTACAACACAAACATACCACACGCATGCTGGAGGGTTTCTAAGCAATCGCACTGCAGCGCACTGAACTCTGAATGGAAGGAAGGGCACTCGTTTCCTTTGCCATACATGCACATAAGAGTTTGCACTAGGGTTATGTCTTCTCTAAGGATGCCCATTGATTTGAGCCTCAAAGATTTGTCACAAGAAATCTGCCAGGGACTGAATATAAGTCAGGACCTTGGGTAGTCTGAGAGCATCAGGACAGAAACCTTGGATGCTGGAGGGTTAGACAGCATAGAAACAAAGTTAGGATCTCCAGAGGGACTCAACATTCAACTTCACACCCAAAATAACCCTGAAAGAACAAAGTCTCTTTGTAGGACTTGTCCCGTTCTGTCTTGCACTTCCAGATTGGGATGCTGGAAATTTGGATTTAATAGCTGTGTTATTCACAGATTCTCTATGCAACCTTGGACAAAACCCTTAAATCCTCAGAAGCAGCATCTTCTTTTCAACACTTCATCCATCATCTCTACACACAGGTTAAGCCCTTGATGGCAGTGTCTCTTGTTCTGCTCGTATGAGGGACAGAGCTATTCATGGAGTCTGCCCAATAACCACCATAAGAGCAGATAACATTCAGAAAAGCTGCATACACTCACATTATTCTTTCACTTCATTTTATTTTTGGCACAACATCCTTCCCAAAAGGAACTTGGAAATTGTCTCAATAGCACTGCCGCTTTGGCTTCAATCTGACTTCTACGTGTGTCTGTACAAAAACTGCTATAAACTTCAAAACTGTTACAGCTATTTTTAAAGTATTTCAACAGAATAGTGAATCACAGAAAACAGTAGACAATGGAGCTACATATTAGCTGTTAACATTCACTACTGAATAGATACACAAACAATAATCTATAGTGTTTCATTTTTTAAAAACTTCCCGGTAAATTCAGTTTTCCTTCACCCTTTTCCTATTAGAGCCAAGCTCAACTGGATAAAAGCAAGGAACACATGAACAAGCAATTGTCATAAAGCAAAGTAGGAAGGTAAAAAGTTCAGACGATTACTGCTGCAAGCTGGGAGGATACACAAGGGAAACTATCATTATGTTATTTTTTTAATAATCCACTATGGGATTCTGTGCCTGAAACAGGTTTCTATGCTAGACAGACCTCTGTTAAGTTGCTACAGCAGGGGTAGCAAACTCAAGCTGTTTAGGGCAAGTTAGAGGTAAATATCATGTAATTTGTTCTGTGTATATAGAACCTTATGCCCAGCAAAAAGTCCGTTGGATCTGCAAGGAGACAAAGGCAACAATAATAGGGGCCATAAATCGATTTTTATGCATCTAAAACCAAAACCCCTTGGATCTTTAGAGCTCGGAAAACACACATATGCTCTCCTGAAGGCACAGACACTACCACTTGCATAGCAGGGTCACACCAAAACCTTAACGTGGTTAGGAAATAGGCCTTACCTGCAGTCCCTCACTCCTAATCCTTGGGTGGTCTTTAACCAGCCTCTTGGACACAACGTTTTAGGCGCTACAGCACAAGCAGTACACGCTGTATTCAAGGTAAACATCGTCTTGATATTGCATCGCATGGATTTTAACTTAAAAAGGAAAAACAGAATGGAAATAAGCCCAAAATTGAGTTGTTACCCTAGCCGCTCATCTTGCCAACCTTTAATATGTTTACATCAACATTACACCATTCTTTAGATACCAATGGGGAGGGCAGTGACCAGTACAGCTGCTGGGAGGTACACCACACACTCATACGGGCTAAACCATCACGCCATGCTGCTGCGTGCTGCTCTGCTTGGATCTCAGCTAGAAGGCAATAGGGCAGATCACAGCTATCTTATCTTTCCCCTACGCCTCACAGCAAAAATTCTAACAATTTCTAAAATAATCATAACTGTGCACTGTTAATTTAAGCTGATCTTTTGCAAACATGTGGTAGTGGTATGTGAGGACAAGCCCTATATTAATAACCCTTGCCAGAAGACACTGAATTAAAATGCAACACAGTGTTTCTGTTTTCCATGCCATTGATATGATCCAGTTCACTGCTGGGTTCATTGCTGTTTCATGGGTCTGATGAACCAAGTGCATTAGTTCGGTCTATTTCCCAGAGCCCAGGAGCTGCTCACACAAATATTTCTCATAGCAATTGTCTTTGGGAAGGTGCGAGGGGCACAAGAGTGGATTAAATGAAAGGTGCTCTATAACTCTCTGACCACCTGGATGGCCCCTGATGCTTTGACCCTACATGAGAAGGACCCCATAAACACTGGCAAGAAGATCAGGCTTTAGGATTGGATAATTCACATGGCTGGTGGCAAATTCAGCACGAGTCTTTCCACCCAACCAAAATAACTTTAGGGGTTCAGGCTTCCTCACAGGGCTTTTCTGTAGCCCTGTACCCACCAACTCTGCTTCTCCAAACGGAACACAGACAGAGCAGCTGAAAAACGTACGGCCTCAGAGCAAATAATCATCATCATATGCCAGCTTGTCATTAAAGCTCATGATTTTACCTCAAAAGGGTTCCCTTGTATTCCTAAACTCCTGGAGTCAAGCCACTGCACGGAAACACCATTGCTCATTTTAAAGAGAGACAACGTTTGCCACTGATGATGGCAGAGAAAAGATGGGAGGCACAAGCTGTGTTTGCCCCAAGAGGTTACTGACTGGAAAAAAAACCCCACAGCTCACCTTAACTGTGCCTCTACAGACACTGTATTTTCTAATAATAAAATTATTAGATCAAATTTTGGGAGGAGGCCTTTATCTGGGATTTTTAAAGCCAATCCTGAACAATGCTGTTAATGCAGCAACTCTCCTGTGCCCAGAACTCCCTGGTTTTGATTCCCATCAGCGATCTCAGCTTTGCTTCCTCTGAACTTAAGCCCAAATGCATACATTTGCCTCAAGGCAAGGGAGGAAGCCCGTGGCTTCCCATCACTTATCAACAGCTCAGGAAGGCCCTCCCAAATGATAGCCAGCAGACCCTGTCAGGAAAACCTCCTGAGAGATAACCCTCAAGTCCCAGGTCCGCAGGGACATCTCCCTGGAATGGTTTCCTGATTCACGCCCATGTTCCCTCTGCCTGGAGTTGTTGAGCTTTTTCTCATCTTCATGGATCCACCTTCTGCGGCCATCTGTGCAAGAATGCTGCCCAATAACGAAAGTGATTCCTTTGGCTGCGGTGGCCCCTCACACAGATATTCGTTTCTAGTCATGCATCTGGGGCTTTCCTTACCATACTGTAACCTCCACTTCCTTTGGTGGTGGAATCCCCAAGGAACCTGTTATGTTAAGGACTCCCTTCTTTGCATTATAAACAACTCAAACCCAATCTGAGATCCACCAAATCCACCTATCCATGTCCTGTGAGCACCGGCTTTACTAATTTTATCCAGCAGGACAGAGATCAGCTTTGCTGTTCCTTACGTTTCCACCACACTGGCACACAGTACTATCAGAGGAGATTTCCCCTTTTTCATGGAGCAAACCAGAGAAGACAGTCATTATGGATGGATAAACGAGGTGGTACCTCCGGAGTACTCTGTCTCAAAGGACATGTGGTGCCATTGATGGGGTAGGGAAGAAGCCCATCCAATCAGCTGATTCAAGTACAAATTAGGCCTCCAGATTAAAGATAGGCTTTGAAAGGAGCAAACCGAAGCCAGGTACTTGATTCTGACAGAACGGTACACCTCCTGCCTTTCTAGTCCCATCAAATTCCAGCTTTAACCTCCACTGAGACAATGACTCAGAAAAGAGGAATGGGAAGACGCCCAAGGAAGAAATACAGAGGTGGACATCTTCCCATGACTTATGATGTTAATGCTGTCAGAATTACCCCACAAACCTTTATCAGGTGTCTGAGCCACCCTACCTGCATGAAAAAGACCACACAAACTGTAGAGCACAAAACACTAAATTAAAATTCTCCAATCTTCTATTTCATCTTTACTTCCAGGCATCCGAGTTGGCTGTCAGACACAGTTAGGCCATTAAATGTGTTCTCTGTCATGGTGGTGGAGGAAGACACCATTATTCACACATCATTCCATTTTCCTTCTCTTCCCTTCATCGGTGTGGCTCCATATCTAAATGGAGATGGAAGCTGGGAGAGGAAAAGGGCTGTCACTCCTCCCTGTTTGCATCTTTAATTACTTGCAGGCTTCTAAGACAAGATAGTTACTGTGGAATCCCCCCTACCCTATCTTCCCGGTATACTTCATGAGCTTTAGGCAGCTTTCCAGTAAGATCTTCCTCTTTTTACAAGGAAATACGCTTGTGTCAGCAGCAACAGGAGGGAGAAAAGAGGAAGAAAACAGCTGCATGGAAAATAATTAAAAAAAAATATTCCCTTCTTATTTGAGTGACAGAACTGATGAAGCAGTCATTTTCTGGAGTGTTTTTCTTCTTAGGAAAGCAGAAGAGGGAATCGAAGCACATGAATGCAACAGTCTGGACACCTGAATTTTGGAGAGGATGAAAGATAGACAGGAGTTCGAGTCAGAGGTGGCTCCTGGAAAACAATGATGCACTGCTCCCTTGGACTCATCTGTGACTGCTGTTTCTAAGTTTGAAGATGGTGGAGAGGAAGCAGCAAGAGGTAATGTCTGTCCCTGTGATGCAGCAATGCTGTCTGGTGGGGTGACAGTCAGTGAGGTGCATGGTGGCTATGTCAGGGAAAGGGGGGGAAAACAGCCACCGTTCCGATCAGATGATGTTGTGAGCTTGGACTGTACCAGTCTTCGGTTACAAAGCAACAGAAAAGGAAGACTGGTGCTCTCAAACAGCTCCAAAATTAAAGGAGAAGCACATCTTTAAGCAGAAGACATCTAGCTGTAGCCAAAAGAAATTAAGAGCCAAGGTGCCTCAGTCCACACTGAGCTCTGTCGTGCCAGGGCTGGACTGTGCTCTCTCCCTGCACTCAAACACATGCATCTGCATGAGCAGCCACTGCCCTCTGTGCTTAGACGAGACATATCTGAGCTTCTGGATGCTGCAGTGTTTCCTTTCCTCCTCTCACTCAGGACACAGATGTCCCTTCTCAAGTGCTCATATTTCTCTTATTCCACCTCAAGAGAATAAGCTGAGAAGTGTTTTTAAAGGACTAGTTTCATTCTCCTCATTCTTGCCTTTTATCTTTTCTTCCCAAACTGTAACACAAATCCTTCTGCACAGCAAAACCTTAAGGAAGTAAAAAAAAAATGCATTTGGACGTCAGTGTTCAGCTCCAACAATCCTGGGAGCCAGTTCTGGAAACAGTCATTATCTAATGAATCACCAGGTTTCCAGTGCATTGGCCCTTTAAAAAACAGAGCTGTAGACACATGCTTGAGTCATTACAGTCATGCACCTCCCCAAGAAGTTCTCAATAACACTAGCTGAACAGACCAGTGGCTCCTGGACACAGAAACTCTTCACATTTGTCCAAGGAAGACACCTTTCAGCACGAGGATGAACAATCAAGCTCAGAGATCACATAACACAAGATCTATTTTTGCTCTGGGTGTTTCCCACCATCTCAGCTGCAGAGCACTGGAGGCACTGGGATGCAGGGAGCACTCCCCTCATTTCCCACCTGCCTCCATTCCTCCTCCAGCACAGCCTGGGACTGGCCTCCCAGCCGCAAAACTTTCACGGCTCTCACATCTGCTGCATCTTTTCCAACCCATACCAAGACGTATACAAAAAAGAAATCAGGCTGATGGATTTGCTGGCATGTTTGAGCCATCAAATCAGAGTCCTGAGGTAACATTGCTGAAAAAAAGCTAGCACAAAATCCCTTTTCTCTCTTGATGGCCCCTGCAAGGCTCCTGCAAGCCAACAGAGGCCTCTTGTGGAATCACAGTACTTCTATTGCAATCTGTCTGGTCCTGTTTTACCTCAAACCAGGACACAATCAAATCCAATGGCCATCCTAAACTATTGGAGAAGACTTCCTTAGACCTTTATTTTTCCTCACTCCCTATTATACCCTTTCAAATGTTTCTTCTCTTTCACCAAAAAGAGGGAACCTTTTTGGGAAAAAAACCTCCAAAAGAATGTTATTTTTCCTGGATTAAACAAACTGCTCCAGAGGTGATTCAAAACATTTCACTTCTCTATGAGTGAGTACTCAATACCCGATATTTTAACTGTTGCACACCAAGACTGACACCTCAGTGATTATAGAAATTAACAGTGTCTCAAAGTCAGGAGACCAAAATTTCCACTTACACCAGCTGAAGATGCAAGCCCATGCCTCTGAACGCACTGCTATACTGGAACCAATCTGCCTGGAACTCACGCCTCTAGACAAACAAGAATCACCAGTACAGACTCTTCTTCAAACCATGTTTGTGCACAAGTCACCCTAACTAACCTACAGGCCCAAAGGTTCACGCGCTTCTTATCTTATTTGTATGCTTATTAGGCATTTATGGCCCTTTTACAAGAGGGTCTATACAAAAGCTTCCACCCAAGTTCTGACACTGAAGCACCTTTTCAGTGCTCTGGCTTTTTCTAAATCAACTCTTCCATGCACCTTCCTTAGCACAGGTCTGTCCGCTCCCCATAAGGCCCCTCTTTGCCATTTAAGACAAGACAACCCTTCCATAGCTCGGATCCCCAGGGAATAAGATTTCCAAATGCCCCACACAGCTCATGACTTTGTAGGCCAGTTCATTCCTCCAACAGCAGGACACAAGAAGGGCGATGGCAGAAGACAAAATAGTATGAATTGGTGTGAATTCTAACCTACAGAAAATGGGATGCCTCACCGTGGAGCCCAGAGAACAGATCTACAAAGGCATCATACATCCACCTAGATGCTGCTGTTAAACACAAGGACGGAGATCAAGGAATCCAAAGAACATCAACAAAACTGAAACAAAATTGAAACAAAATGGAAGGTATTCCACACTCCTCACTGGGGAGCTGAAGGCATTTACCCTGTTGCAAAGCAACAAGTTGATGAGATTTTAAATATTTTTTTATAAAATTCTCTTGGGAAACTCATGGACCTGTCCTGCCAGATACTAAGCTCCCATCACACGTAGCAGAAGACAAAGATGCTGACTATATTCCTTTCATATTGCTACTTTTGCATTCTTTGCTGAACATAAATACAAATTTAATCTGATCTAAAACTCAAGCAGCTCCCTTCTACCTTATTTTTAGTTCCTCAGTTTAGACTACACACATACCCACACATAAGCAGAGAAGATATCTTACAGTCCTAAAGTTTAATTATGGATATTATTCTGCACCTAACTAAATGTAAATGAAATAAGGAGTTTTAGGGAGGGCTACTTCATAACACACAACTGTCCAAATATGAAGAACTGTTCAATGAACATTTAAACAAAGACTCTCAGACTTACCTTCTGACTCTGGCAGTCAGCTGTGGGAGTGAAGCATGCCGCTAAGACGAAAAACAGCAACCCAGGAGGATGCATTTTCTTGCTTTTACAGCTAGGACCCTTTCTACAAAAGGGGTGGTGATAGAGGCTGCAATTTCTGTAAGATAAGACCGCCTACTAAGAATCAGATCCAAGACAAACCAGAGGTTAAAAGTAAACAGGGAGAGAGCATTTTCGCACTGTGCTCTTTGGCTGCAAAGCCTTCAGAAGTGGATCTGTTACTTCTAGCACTACATCTGAATCAATACCACCTTTTTCTTTCTTTCTATTCTTTTTTAAATGCACAAACAGAACTCCTTAGTAAAAGGTTTACTCAAAACAGGAACATCTACGGATTTCCTCTTACATATCAGTTCAAAACAGAAGGAAGGAAATCCTTAGTTTTCAACTAATTGGAATGAAAAGAGGTTAACTGTATGCTTAACTGAAGGCAAATCCAACGGGCAAACTTAAATACCATGAATTCATAAAGGGTAAGTTAATTTCCTTTTACCACTGATGTTAATATGTCCACAACACCTCAAACAGAAGGTAGACCATTGCCTATCCCAAAGTATGCATGAACAAAGCAATGAGAGTGACGTGCTGCACTTCAGAGCAATAATGTAAGCACACCTATCAATCAATCAAACGCTTTGGGTAGGCTTTGATATTTATTTAAAGTATTTGAGTTTCTCAGCAAGAAAAGCATCACATTTTACAGGTGCTATGGAAGCAGTGGCAAAACACGTAATTTTCCAAACACTCTGCTGACAGCTTGATGAATCCAAGGAGCACTTCAAAAGCACTCAGAACAGGAAAAGTCCTAAAATGGGATTAAAAAAACCCCAACATGCTAGCCTGAGCTATGGTGTGCCACTCAATTTCTCCGTTTGAAAATTACAAACAATCACGACTGATTATGGACAGATTTTACATGGACTTTGTCTCTCTGCGCTGTCAAGAGAACCCACTGTAGTGAGCAGTCTAAAGACTGCTTCCGTTAGTAACAAATCCTACTGAGCAAGGAGGGATCTTTTCATTTTTGAGCCATTAATGCTACATGAAGGCTCCTAAATGAAACCAGGATAGGAAGCTACTCTTGTGTTTACATAAATAATTGACAGCTTTAATATTTTTTTGCTCCCCCCCCCAAAGATACACATGCTAATATATAAAGTATATAAGAACTACTGTACTTACCAGTGCTGTTAATTGTGCTTTACCTCTTCCTTCATCCTACAGAGACAGTCAGCATGATGAACAGCAAGCACTATTATATATCCTGCACTAACAGGAAGCAGATAAGGCACACAACCATCCACTGCGACCCATGTGAGAAGTACCAGCCCACAACTCAATCTGACAACTCAGCCTGCTTGTCCCATTACAGGACAACGGCAGCTCTGGGACCATCGGTGCCCAAGAGATGGCCACTCTGCCAAGGTCAGAGGGTTCACACAGCTCTGGAAACCATTTGGTACCCTGCAGATCTGTGAAATGAGGCAGAGGCAACATAGCTCAGACCAGTTCTGGTGGGATGGCAAAGTTGCAAATGGACAATGGGGACATTCTTGTAGAGGGGGACATTAGTAGGGAAGCTGTACAATGTTGTCTTTACCTACAGTCGTGGTAGGTACATTTACATGGTAGACTGGCCATGTAAACAGAAAAATGAGACTGCTTCTCTGCTCCATGCTACCTGTTAGGCATCCACAGCTAAACAGGCAGCCTAGAAGGATGTTGAGTGTTTGTTGATAGGTTTTCCAAGGGCTAGCTATATGACCTAGGGTTTAAGTTGCCAGTACTGAGCATCCACAGAAAGCTGATAAGCTTTTAAGGTGAAAACAGCTTACCCTGAGGCACTTGAAGAGGCATGGGCATCTTTCCATGAATCTTCAGACTGTTTTCTAAATGACTCAACACTGAAAATGGTACGGGGGAAATAGGGCGTACAAAGATTGATTCCAAGGCTTTCCACTGCTGCTTATTGTCACTGTATCTGACCTACTGCAAGGAAAGTAGGAAGGGAAGGAAAGGGAAGGGAGAGAAAGACTTGGTGAAGTTCCTGTCTGAATTAAAATAAATCAGATTCACAGCAACATCAAAAGGATCACAGCCAGCTTCCTTATCTGACCATACCTCATTTAAAGGCAAGCAATACAACTGCAATATACAAGCTAAAAATGCCAACACTGGGCAGCATCATTGTACAGCAGCAGAGCATAAACTGAAAAATTAAAAGGTCATCTGTCATCAGACGCTGCTTTCCTGATCAAGCAGCACAGGCAGTGTGTTCCAGCCGCTGCATATCAACTGCTCTGAGAGAACGGAAACTTACTTTGCTGATCACTGCTGCTGGATCCAAACCTGCATCAACTTTGGATCTGCATGATTCTTGAAATTAGAAGGAAGGTGAAGCACCAACCGCCTCCAAATTAACGGGTAGCCAAGAGCCATTCATAATGCTCAGTGCACAGCGGCAAGATGCCAATGTGCTCGCAGTGGCAGTCCAGTTTGCATCCACCAAAGATGGCAACACTGGCATGGAAACAGGACAGGCAGTAAAAGTGGGTGAAATAAACACAAATTAGTGCTCCACTCACACTGCTCCTGTTCTCTTCTGATAGATGGATTGCTCCTAGGCACATGGATGGATTTTCTCATGGACAACATCAATACAAAGCTTATGCCTTAGAGGCAAAATGCATTGGATCAATTTTTTAATTCCCCTGTTTTGTCCAACACCCTTCACAATTGTCAATAAATAAAAAAAAACAGTTCCCTCACTCATTTCTATAAGAGACAAGCTCATATGCACAGGCTTCTGCACAAAGCATTTCAATCCCTCAAAGTCCCACAAAGCAAGACCTTGAGATCTGTCAGAGCTCAACATTGGTCCAGAATTTACAGAGGAAATACCCAGTAGTGCAATAAGAATGAAGCCACAGGACTTGCCATGTCACTAGCAATTAAAGGAATATGTGAGACAGGAAAACTGGGAAAAGAAATCACCTTCATCAAAGGGAAAATTTATAGGCAAGACTTGTAAGGATCTGATGACAAAGCATGCAAATGGCCCTGTGCAGGGTAGAAGGGTTTAATTCACATCCTAGTCAATGTTTGATTGAAACAGGATTGTGCAAATACAATTTTAAAATTTACAGTAGGAGTTGTCAACTGTCTTCCAGTGTGTTTATCTGTGAGGTTCAGCACATGGGCTTTTGTTTGTTTTGGAAAGTGTCTTCTGCCCACACGGCAGAAGAAAGCTGGTTTAGCAGTTGAAGTCACAGACGTGGGTGTCAGAAGAATCATCTTCAATTTCTGGCCCTGACACAGACGACTTCTACAGAACACTAATAATTTACCTTGTGGT